GCACCCTCTCGGTAGGCCGATATCTTCCACAGTCGGATACGCCGCTGCGCTCCCTTGAACAGCTCTACCAGCTTCTCCATACTTCCTGGAGGGGAGTCGGATGGCCATAAGACTTGGGCTACACTCCGCTTCGCCTGCCGAGCTTGCTCGTGGAACTGCGACAGCCCTTGTAGAAGATCACTTGATGATCCGGACACCTCCTCTTCAGGGCGGTTCTTCAATACACCTGCAATTATAGCTATATCAGCTACTGTTACCTCCAAACTGTTATAAGATGAAAGCAGCCATGTACTTAATATGCCGCCTCGCAGCTTCTTGTTCTCCTTCACAGAGTCCGCTAGCTAAGCTCGCACATCTTTCAGTTCTTCACCCAATTTGGTGTTCAAATCCTGGAGTTTCTTTTTCTCTTGAACGACTTTTGTCAATACACGCTCGCCCATTGCTAGTAGCTTTTTGGCTCCGTGTTCTTCGCTTCGAGCGGCGTCCAGCTGCTCTCGTAATTGGTCTAACAACCCAACACAAAGATAAGCACCCAGATTCACACTATCAGTGTATCATTATGAATTCTCGATAGAGGGGAATATTACCGGGAGATGCCTTGTATTTCTCCAGTTCGGCATTGGCAACAAGCAGTCGGCGCTGGCACTTTTCTAGTTCCTGAGCTAGCAGGGTGTTCTTCTCCGTAAGCACCTGGTTGTACATTAATCCTTAAATTAGTTGTTTCAACTTCTTTAAGTCTCAGGGGTTACTAGCATATGGTTATCATAGTCAGACAAAACAAATTTACCTTCACATCTTTCAAATGTTGTTTTGTGGCCCTATTAAGGGCCTGTTCGGTAGCTCCCCAACTCCAATAAATCCTCAAATCCAGCTTCTCTTTTCGATCGCCAGCTTCCCACGCGAGCGCTAGCGCTCAGAAATCCGTTCGGTGTCTCAGCTCCAGGTTTCGATCGTCATAGATGGGCTGCCAGCCATCTTCAGTGGGATTCGGCCTTATTGGACATTGAGGAGAGGCCGAAGTGAGCCCAAGATGGAGGCTGGATGGAAATCCACGTGAGGCCCTGTTCCTAGGGGCTGAAAAGATGGCTAAAGGCCTGGTTTGGAGTGCCTGGGGCGCATTTTTCAGCCTATTTCGCTGGCAGGCAGCGTTTTTCTCCTTTTTCTTTGCTTTCTTTCTCTAACAGAGATGACCAGATTCGCTGGGGCAAAGAGTTGCCTTTTCTTTTCTGTGCATTTTTACTAACAGAGAACTATAAAGGGTAGTTTGCAATACTTTCTGCATATAAATTATAAATTATTAAACAGAAATGTATTTTGAATGAAAATACATATATGGCAACACATATCTTAAGGACCAAGACAGTCTGCACGTATTTCATATAACAAAGGGCACAATATTTGCATAAGTTTGCAAATCAAAAGTGGTACATGTTCCTAACATGTACTTCACCAACCTAGAGCAATGTCAGTAGCAAGTTGGTTCCTAAACAGATCCATGTCAACACCATTTCCCTCCGAAGTAGATGTATCTGAAGCATTTGTCGGAACAGCAAATTTCCTATACCGTTCAGGAATTGTTGGCACATAATCCGGATCCCTATCACATCGAACAAAGTGGAGATCTGATTTGTCATGGAAGCGAACATAGTTGTGCAATGCCATAGTAGCAGCAACTATCATCTTTTGGGTTTCAGTTGAGTAGCTTGGCATCTTCAAAAGTATTTGCCATTTCATCTTCCAAACTCCAAAGGTTCTCTCTATGCAATTGCATTTGGATGAATGGATCCTATTGAACTTCTCCTTAGGAGTATTCGGTGGTGCGCCTCTTTGAAAGTCAGGGACATGATACCTTTCTCCTTTGTAGGGTGCAAGATATCCAATTCTATTAGGATAGCCAGCATCTACAAGGTAGTACTTGCCTAAATAACATACAGAGTAATGAATGTAAGTTGTTGGATATATGACATAACTTGCAACAAGTAAAAAAGCTCACCTTTTGGAGGATGGGGAAAGGTATCCTTGTCCATATGCATTGCGGTATATAGCACAGTTGTGTCATGCATAGAACCAGGTTGACCAATAGAAGCATAAGTGAAATGCATATCAAAGTCACATATTGCCATCACATTCTGAGTTATTGCTTCGGTTCTTCCGATGTACCTCACTTGTCCGGCCTCAGGAATAGAAGCCCTAATGTGAGTCCCATCTATTGCACCAATGCAGTCTTTCAAGTGTGGATAAGCCCTCCTGTCATTCAGAATCCTTGGATGTATGGTCCTAAAATTTGGGTCCTTAGGCTTGATGTAGTCAGCAGACATCTTCACGGCACAAAGTAGTACCTCATGGAATTTGCGGTGGATTGTATTTGCGGAATGCTTGAAACGGTTTTGGGTTCTTCTATTTGATTCACACCCACCCAAGGTCCACAGGAACATAGCAAGAGACTCATAACTACTAACGAATGGGGAATGGCCGAGCCCATACTTATCCTCCAACAAGTCATGAAGTTCAAAGAATACCGTCGCCTTCATTCTCAGCATGGTGAATGTCTCTCCGGGTGTACCGATAGTCTCCTGCAACCATCCAAATCCACTCAAGATAGATGTCCTAGGATTGGCCTTCATCACCCAATTGTCACAATACTTCCCAAATATGGTTGATGCACTCAGATACATAATGTTCATTTCTTGTGCATGGGCACGAATCATTCTTTTCTTCATTTCATAATAGTTTTCATTGTCACTTTCACTGTCAGATGACATCTGCACATAGAAAGCCAATGAGTTAACAAACAATGGTTAGCATGGAGAACAAGAAATCTGAAGATGAAACTCCACTCCATACATAAATATTATCGATCCAGTTATTACAAGCCATATAGGAAACAATTGTTCAAGAGTGAGTACTTAAAATATTGTTCAACCACTGACATAGTAAATAAAATGGTTCGATAGCATAGGACATAAGCAACCATCACATATATGGCATAAACTGGGAACTACTAGTTCCCGTACTTGACATTGAACTTCCTCTTTAGCCAACCCAAACGAGTGTGAACACTCATGCTCAAAAACATCTCCCTTTGCTCTCTCTTGATGAAAAGCTCAGAGGCAATGAAGTGCTCATCGCTGCCTTCTATTGCACCACAAGCAATTGCTTCCTTCATAACAGATGCAACAGAGGTGGTGTCATCGTGCTTAAAGAACGACTGAAACGACGAATGTGATTCCTTACAAATGTCCCCGATCATTGTAATCTGCTCCTGCATCACTTGTGCGGTCTTGGGTTTCTTGTTTGTGTCACAAATGATCTTGCCAAGCCTCTTATTAACCTTTGGTGTAATAGGAGATGGTGCCTCTTCGGGATCCTCCAACAGATCAACATCTTCTATTTGCTCAAGATTTATGGCACTTGATATTAGTGCAGTAGAAGTAGGGGGGATGCCAGAAGTCGGATTCCAATGATCGGAACCGTCACTTGTGATGTCTTCAAACATGATGCGCAAGTTCTCTTCATTGCGAAGTCCATGCTTCCTGAACTTGTAACAACCTGGAATGTCCTGTAAATATACAAACAAGACAACATTTGTCAACAAGTAATATGAAGAAAGATATGATATGCACAACATGAGGATGAAAACTCACTATCTTTGCCTTCTTCCACCACTCAGCATCTTGTTTCACAGTGTTGCGCTCTGTGTCCCATCCCGCTCCTGTCTCCTTCAACTTAAGTTTCTTGAATACACCATATTCACCTCTTAGTTTGTCCCATTTGTTCTTCAATTGATCATTTGTGTACTCCAACCCTGTTCTTATTTTGAATTGCCTCACCACCTCATCATATGCATTGGAGGTCAAGTGAGTATTTGGCCTATTTCCAGCTCTCACTTGCTGGACAAACAACTCGGTGATAATCCGAGTGTTCTCAATAGTCCATTCGGCAACCATTTTCAACAACTCTATATAAAAGTCCATGTCACTTTGTGTGTGCTAATAAAATTGTATGCTCTCATATATATAAAGATTCATGTCATAAAAACAACTGTATGCTCTCATTTATAAACATATTCAGAGACTATTTCATCTATAAATCTGTACGTATGTATATGGAATATCTCATTTATAAACATATACAGAGTCTATTACATCTATAATTCTGTACAGGGACTATTTCACTTATAAATCTAAAAATCATAGCTCCCATCTATAAATCTGAACCAAATGATAGCTTTCGTCTACAAATATGTATGCTCACATTCAGAAAAGTTCATCTTATTTACAAAAGATTGTGCATCTGGACATCCAAAAATCTGGACCAAATGGCCTGTAACTCAATGTAAAATAAACTGAATGGAGAGTGGTGAGGTTGCACATCTGCACGAGCTCACCTTGAGCTTCTCGAGCGGCGACGGCGGGGCAGAGGAGCAGCGTCGCCGACGACGGGGGTGCCGGCTGCTGTCAGGTGGGGGCGGAATGGGGCGAGCTTGAAGGAGTCGCGAGCGTCACGAAGAAGGGCTGCTCGAGGACGAGACCTTCTTTGGGGTGGGGTCAAGGTTGCCGGACGAAGTTGACCGGTGAGGATGCGGTGGCGGGATGTCTGGCGGCTAGGGTTGGACTAGCCGGTGGGGATACGGCAGGAGGAGAATGGGGATCGAGATGTATCGAGACTTCTCCAGCCTATCTATCGAACAGGTATGTCACTTGGCGGTGGCACATCCTCGTAATAAAAGTGAACTTCAGCTTTTGCGTTTTCTGGGATCTCCAAACGAGCAGCTCCCGGTTTTTGCACGTAGCCAGGCCACACATCCCAGAAGCTAGCTTCGTGGAGCCAGGGTGTTCGGGCTAGCTCCGCTCCTGGATTCAGGGAAGCTGGGAGTTGGGGAGCTGCCGAACAGGCCCTAGTACCAGTACCGATCCTATCCAACCGCCGTCACGTAGAGCGTGTATAGGTCCCCAAGCTAGCCAAGCCACCTAACGTGCAAGGCTCAACTTTGCACGACCATGCAGTCTGTTTCCCCCACCCCCACGGCGACGGCTGTGCCTGTGCGCCCATCGTTGCGTGCCGTCCCGCGCTCGCTCGCTTCGGCGGAAAGGCTTGGGATGGGCCGTGCCGCGACATGCACCACCACAGCACTCCACGCGCAGTGCGGTGGCTGGGCGGAACCGGTGGAGGCGCGCAAGGAGGACGGGCCCGTGCCTCAGGAGCGAGTCCGAGGGGAGGACGAGGCCATGGCCGGGGAAGACGAGGGCCGTAGCCCCACGGACTATGGCCGCCGAGCGCACATCTTCGAGGAGAGCTCCCGGGTGTTCCGGGTCCTCAAGGAGCGCCGTGATGGGGACGGCGGTGCCAAGCCTGGTGCTGCCGCGACGCGCCATGGCTGAAACCAACACGCCCCATTCCCTCAGAGGACATGTCGCTCCTATAACTTCCTAACATCACGTTTTTCTCATGTACTTACTATGTATCTAGGCCGATCAATGTATTGAGGTTTTTTTCACGTTATCGATCTGGTAAAATGAATATCATCTCTGAAAAAGATGGATGCGATCAACTGTACACGTCGAGGAAGCGGCTCAATAGTACACGGTACACCAAGTGTGCGTTGCCGCCTTAAAAAAAAGTGTGCGTTGCCGGCGCCGCCACACAAGTGTTTGAGTCAAAACTCTCGCTATGCGTGTACCTAGTGTTGCATAATTTTGCCTTCTTTGTCGGAAAGAAACGAGACACTCCAATAGCATCACCTCTTTGCCTATCAATCCTTTATGAAAAGGAAAAAATATCACTGTAATGCAATTTGCCTCTCAATGCTTTATGAAAAGAAAGGTCACCGTAATGCAATTTGCCTTTCAATGCTTTATGAAAAGGGAAAAAAATCAATGCAACATGAGGCTAATTCCAATGCACACCTCATCATGTCCGCATGTGTTTGTTTGGGGTAAACAAACAAAACAGGCTTTGTCCGCCTGCGTTTGTTTGGGGTAAACAAACAAAGCAGGCTTCCATTTTCTATCCGCTTTCAATCCATTCCCGATCCAAGTTCGCGGACGCTACATGGTACTTGTTCATGTCCTCCCTGGCCCGCCCGTCGAGGATGCAGACATCTCTTTTTCTATTCTCCCATCCCGCCACTCGTGTCCATTGCCACTCTGCAGCTCGGCCGCGCGCTTGCCCCAACCCTTGTCACAACCTTCGTTCCCTCGACGTTCTAAGCTATCCAACCATGGTCACCTGATTTGCACACGCGGCGGTCGGGTTCGGAGTGAAGCCAGCCGGACTTAAGCTCGCCCGGCTGCGAGAGGCCGTGCCATGGATTTGCCGGGCACCGGGCCGGAAGGCCCCGGCAAGGCTGCATGCAAGTACTGAGTCCGCCTCTAGCCGCTTGGATCTACACCGTCGACGGTTAGCCGACAGATACACGAACGATCGTCGGTCGGGGTTCCGTGCTGGCCCAAAGGCTCGTCGGCTCACCGTTGTCACTCATAAAGTGTGACGACTTGTGACGTCCCTGATTTGACCGTACACTAATCATACACGCAAATGTGTACGATCAAGATCAAAGACTCACGGGAAGATATCACAACACAACTCTAGACACAAATAAAATAGTACAAGCTTTATATTACAAGTCAGGGGCCTAGAAGGCTCGAATACAAATGCTCAAAGACACAAGAGTCAGCGTAAGCAAAATATCTGAATACAGACATAAATTAAACAAGTTTGCCTTTAAGAAGGCTAGCACAAAAGTAGTAATGATCGAAAAGGCAAGGCCTCCTGCCTGAGACCTCCTAACTACTCCTCGAAGTCGAACTCCATGTGGAATCATCCTCAGGATCCTCTGGCTTCCGGACTCCATCATATGATTGCAATAACCGGGAAAGGAGGAAAAAGAAGTAGCAAAGCAACCGTGAGTACTCATCCAAAGTACTCGCAAGCAAGGATCTATACTACATATGTATTGGTATCAATGAAATGGGTAGTATCTGTGGACTGAACAGCAGAATGCGAGAATAAGATGGGGATAGCTAGTCCTATCGAAGGCTATGCTTCTGGCAGTCCCCATCTTGATGCAGTAGAAGAGAGAAGATGGTAAGTTTAACCAAGTATCATCGCATAGCATAATCCTACCCGATGATCCTCTCCTCGTCGCCCTGTGAGAGAGCGATCACCGGATTTGTATCTGGCACTTGAAAAGGTGTGTTTTATTAAGTATCCGGTTCTAATTGTCATAAGGTCAAGGTACAATTCCGGGTCGTCCTTTTACCGAAGGACACGACTATTCGAATAGATAAACTTCCCTATAGGGGTGCACCACATTTTCCAACACGCTCGATCCCCTTGGACCGAACACACTTTCCTGGGTCATGCTCGGCCTCGAAAGATCAGCAGGTCACAGCCCCACCTATGCACAACAGAGAGGTCAGCACGCCAGTCTAAATCCTATGGCGCAGGGGTCTGAGCCCATCGCCCATTGCACACCTGCACGTTGCGAGGGCGGCCGGAAACAGATCTAGCCTTCGTAATACAAGAGCAGGCGTTCCAGTCCAATCCAGCGCATGCCGCTCAGTCGCTGACATCACGAAGGCTTCGGCTGATACCACGACGACAAGTGCCCATAACTGTTCCCACATAGTTGGTTAGTGCGTATAGGCCATTGGCCAGACTCAGATCAAGTACCAAGATCTCGTTAAGCGTGTTATTTTGAAGTAACTGCAGACGCTGACCAGGGCCAGGCCCACCTCTCTCCTAGGTGGTCTCAACCTGCCCCGTCGCTCCGCTACAAAGTAATAGTTGGGGGCCATCGGGAACCCAGGCCCACCACTACCTAGATGGAATCACCTGCCCCTTCAGCCCCCATATCGGAATCACTTGCGGGTACTCTACGAGCCGACTCGACTTTAGTCACCACATGTATCACATATTATGTATATAAGTATATACCCGTGGTCACCTCCCAAGTGATCACGGCCCAATAGTATAGCATGACAGACGGATAAGAATGTAGGGCCACTGATGGAATACTAGCATCCTATACTAAGCATTTAGGATTGCAAGTAAAGGTAACAACAGTAGTAGCAAAGACAGGCTATGCATCATAGTAGGATTATAGGAAAGCAGTAACATGCTACACTACTCTAATGCAAGCAATATAGAGAAGAATAGGTGATATCGGGTTGATCAAGAGGGGGCTTGCCTGGTTGCTCTGGCAAGGAGGGGTCGTCAACAACATAGTCGATCGGGTACCAGCAGCGGCGTCAGTCTCGTAGTCTACCGAAAAGAAGAGGGGGAATAAACAATGAATACAATGCAAACAGATGCATATCGATGCAAGACATGACAAGTAACGATGCTAAGAGTGCCCTAACATGGTAGGAGGTGATACCAGCGAAGAGGGGAAACATCCGGGAAAGTATCCATGGAGTTTCGTGTTTTCAGATAGATGAACCAGAGGGGGAAAGTTGCGTGCTCGCTATGCTAGGGATGTGTGGCGGACAAACGGACTGCTACCTCTTGAGCACTGTGTTGGTTTTCCCCGAAGAGGAAGGGATGATGCAGCAAAGTAGCGTAAGTATTTCCCTTAGTTTTTGAGAACCAATGTATCAATCCAGTAGGAGGCTACGCGCGAGTCCCTTGTACCTGCACAAAACAAATAAATCCTCGCAACCAACGCAAATAGGAGTTGTCAATCCCTATAAGGCCACTTACGAGAGTGAGATCTGATAGATATGATAAGATAAACTTTTTGGTATTTTTATGATAAAGATGCGAAGTAAAATAAAGGCAAAGGAAATAGCAAAGGAAATAACTAAGTAGTAGGAGATCAATATGATAAAGATAGACCCGGGGGCCATAGGTTTCACTAGTGGCTTCTCTCGAGAGCATAAGTATTCTACGGTGGGTGAACAAATTACTATTGAGCAATTGACAGAATTGAGCATAGTTATGAGAATATCTAGGTATGATCATGTATATAGGCATCACGTCCGAGACAAGTAGACCGACTCCTGCCTGCATCTACTACTATTACTCCACTCATCGACCGCTATCCAGCATGCATCTAGAGTATTAAGTTAAAAACAAAGTAACGCCTTAAGCAAGATGACATGATGTAGAGGGATAGGCTCATGCAATATGAAGAAAACCCCATCTTGTTATCCTCGATGGAAACAATACAATACGTGCCTTGCTTCCTTTACTGTCACCGGGAAAGGACACCGCAAGATTGAACCCAAAGCTAAGCACTTCTCCCATTGCAAGAAAGATCAATCTAGCAGGCCAAACCAAACTGATAATTTGAAGAGACTTGCAAAGATAACCAATCATACATAAAAGAATTCAGAGAAGATTCAAATATTATTCATAGATAGACTTGATCATAAACCCACAATTCATCGGTCTCAACAAACACACCACAAAAAGAAGATTACATCGAATAGATCTCCACACGAGAGGGGGAGAACATTGTATTGAGATCCAAAAAGAGAGAAGAAGTCATCTAGCTACTAACTATGAACCCGTAGGTCTGAGGTGAAGTACTCACACTTCATCAGAGGGGCTATGGTGTTGATGTAGAAGCCCTCCGTGATCGATGCCCCCTCCGGCGGAGCTCCGGAACAGGCCCCAAGATGGGATCTCGTGGATACAGAAAGTTACGGCGGTGGAATTAGGGTTTTGGCTTCGTCTCTGATCGTTTGGGGGTACGTGGATATATATAGGAGGAAGGAGTACGTCGGTGGAGCAACAGGGGGCCCACAAGTGTGGAGGGCGCGCCTGGTGGGGGTGGGCGCGCCCCTACCTCGTGGCCTCCTGTTTTATTGACGTAGGGTCCAAGTCTCCCTGGTCTTATTTGTTGAGAAAATCACGTTCCCGAAGGTTTCATTCCGTTTGGACTCCGTTTGATATTCCTTTTCTTCGAAACCCTTAAACAGGCAAAAAACAACAATTCTGGGTTGGGCCTCCGGTTAATAGGTTAGTCCCAAATATAATATAATAGTGGATAATAAAGCCCAATAATGTCCAAAACAGTAGATAATATAGCATGGAGCAATCAAAAATTATAGATACGTTGGAGACTATCAAGCATCCCCAAGCTTAATTCCTGCTCGTCCTCGAGTAGGTAAATGATAAAAACATAATTTTTGATGCAGAGTGCTACTTGGCATAATTTGAATGTAATTCTTCTCAATTGTGGTATGAATATTTAGATCCGAAAGATTCAAGACAAAAGTTCATATTGACATAAAAATAATAATACTTCAAGCATACTAACTAAGCAATTATGTCTTCTCAAAATAACATGGCCAAAGAAAGCTCATCCCTACAAAATCATATGGTTTAGTCATGTTTCATTTTCGTCACACAAGAATGCTCTCATTATGCACAA